TGTGCATGTGTTGTGGTCTGGCATGGAGTCCACAGAGTCTGGCCCGGTGTCAGCTACTGTCTGCATAATACATTAAAACGTAAGCTCAGGTTTCTGGAGTTGTGGTTATAAATGACGTAATGATGGTGTTTCTGCACGAAATTGATTCTGAAAGATGAAATCTTTTTAGAATTCAGTCTTTAAGAATTAAGACTGCTTTAGTCTTCTACACAGACTGCATTAGGAAAAAACAGTCATGACAACAAACAGACAGACAAACAGACCATGTCCATCATAGAAACATGGGATTCTTTTTTTTATTACTTGTGCAAGTAAACCCTCTTACGTAATTGAGCACAAGGTGAAGTTAGCCAGGACCAATGTTGGCTGCTTATATTTTTCAGCTAAAGTTTATTGGTTGACTGATAAATGATGATTAAAGTTGATTGGCAGACTACAAATTTGTAATTATATTGAATTTTCATGGCAATTTTATATTCTGTCTGGGAAAATGATTTGTTGATCTGATGTCATACAGTCTGTTGTGCTGGTTGCCATAATGACACTACAGAATTCTAAGGAATATCATGTGGCCCTGAAGCGGGCTTTCAGTTTTTGGGAAATGAGCTTCCACACGATTGATTTTCTGTGTGTGTGTGTGTGTTCAATTGATGAAAAAATTGATTAAAATGATGTGACATTTGAAATGAATACTTTTTATTTAAGATCTGTAAAAACCACAAATCCTGTCCATCCAAACGCTCATTAATTGACTGGTACATCTGCTGTAGGTAACGAGCAGATGTTCTGTGTTAGACAAACAGAGGTGGTTGGTTTCACTTATGCTAATAACATTTCTTAAAACTGACTCTGTAAACCATGGCTAACTGATGTTGTTGTCAGTAGCATCAGCGTCTTCTACACTGTAAAAACAAGCTGGTTGTTTGCTGTCAAAACATGTAGAGCAGTGGTTCTTGGTGTTTCCCCTATTTCAGATGAAAGCTGCAGCATGGTAAATATGTTCACACATGTTGGTGTTATTATTCTCGGGGCTATTATTTAGCAGGTTTCCTGATGTGTCAGAGCTCAAATTTGCAAAGAATTTGCATCCATACGTTACATCCCTGAGGCAAATACACATTCATTGGTCGGTACCGTCTCCCCTCGTCCTCTTTGTTTAGAAAAAAAAAAGCTTTTTCAAACCAATGATGTAGAGAAACAGATAGATTTGAGTTTAGTTGCCCAAGACTGGACACAGTCTGAGGCTCAAACAATACAAAGGGCTTTAAACAAACCATGCCTGGAGGCAGAAGAGGAGGAGGGAGGCAGCGTGGGGTAGAGGGATGGAGGGAGGAGGCAGACAGAAGGGGGAGACTGAGGGAGAAGGAGAGCATACAGTTTCAATTATCTGTAATCTAGATCCGGGGCTGTGAGTTCACATACAAACACGGGCTATTTACTCTATTTCATCAGTCAAACACACATTAGACCGCTATGAACACACACACACACACACTGGTCAAACACATGCCTGCTGTCACGTCTACTGTATGTTAATGGCAGTGCAGAAATGTGTACATAAACAAGCAATCACCAGTTTGACTGAGGCACATGTATGGATGAACTCCAGAGGTAAACAGCCAGGAGTCTGAGTCAGGCACAGATGCTCACAAATAAGGAAGAGGCTCACTGGTAAAATTCCAAATGTGGTGTATAAAAAGAGCAACAACCAAAGGCACGGTGTTGGTAAAAAGGAATATTTTTTAAATTTGTATATTACTGTAAAAAGATTCAGGAATTAGGAGTTAGGGAAAAAACATGCATCATGAAAAGTCAAATTTAGACAATGCCCACTTCTAAATTTCTCTGTCAAATATGTAGCTAAAAATAATGGAGTGTTGTCTAAATGCTGTCTAAATGAACATCCTCTCCTATGTTACCAAAGCTGTACCCAAAAATGTCAAGGCTTGCTATAGGGACAGGAGAGCACTGCAGCCTGAAGACTGAAGTTGGGTCTATGATTGCATGTCTGTATGGAGATGAGAGAGGGAACGGTTGCCAGAGTTTTCACGGTGATAAGAGACTAAACCTGGAGCCAGTAAAGGACTATAAATGTCCGGGTGACTTACTGCCAAGGTTGGGTTCAACCCTGGCAGCTGAGTTCTGAACACAGTTAAGAGAGTCACGGGTTTACAAGAGAAGACTTTCATCCTGTTGTAGAGAAAGGTGAATTAGCACATCAGACGTTTGTTATATTTAAACCAAAGAAACGGCACATTCAGCAATGCTATTCTGAAAAGACTATACCGAGGTACACCATGGTACTGGATCTGAAACTGTGAGCTTTAGAGCTGCTGTCATTAGCAAGTATAATAATAATAATAAAAAAACTTAAACCAGGCATCTGCCCATGGTAGAGCGTGGATGAGGTTAAAGAAAAAGGGGAACGAGAAGAGAGCCTTGAGGCACAGCACCTGCTTTCAACATATCACAAACATACGAAACATGAGCTGGTGTTACAACCTGGAAGGGTACGTCTCTAACCGTAGTCTCTCTGGGAGCCGGACTTTTAATTATCGACAGATCAGAAACTCTGGGTCTGTTGTCACATGGTTTTAAATGGTTCATAATGTGTAGTCTGACCTCGGGATCTAATGAACAGTGGAAATGAGGGAGTGAACTGGCCATAGCTCTGTTTTGCATATACTCATTCTGCCTGTTAAAGCAGCAGCAGCAGCAGCATCAGCATCAGTAGCAGCAGCAGCAGCACTAGTGCCACATGACCTGATATCATTAGTATGTCTCTGTAATGTAGGCAGCCCTAATTTCTCTGAATGGGAGCCAGGACGTAAAAGCCCATCAGAGCCATGGCTGGGGCACAGCGGCTGTTCTATTCACTAAAGTGGCTCGGTGCCCGTGTGTGTGTGTGTGTGTGAGTGAGTTAATGTTATGACATGAAGGGCATGTGTGTCTTTGTGGGCAGGTTTAATATGATGTCAGGAAGTAAATACTCTGTCTTTGGACGACAGTGTGTAGCCTACATTATGCAAAGAGATGCATAATGTAAACTAAAGGAGACATTAGTCACAGTGAAAGGCAGGGTCTCAGGTGGGAGACCATCAGTGTGTGTGTGTTATCCTTGTAAAAAGCCCTCCACCATAGACTGATCAGGTTCACTATCCAAGGAAAAAATCAATGATGTTGGCTATGACCGACTTAAAGAGGCTGATTATACACCAACGTACAGTCATAGTGATTAGCTGGGCTGTACCACAGAGGGAAACAGATATTCTTATAAGTGAGGTCAATCTGATCTTTACAATTGTCCCAGTCCAATTGTTTCGATTGATGTTGGTAACTAATTCAAGCTGCAGCCGTAAATACTGAACCAGGTTAAAAAAATACAACATGTTGATAATTATGTTGATAAAAACTGATAAAAATAGTGTTACTTTGAAATGTATTTTCCATTGAATAGTCCATAGAGAAAACCTATGATTTTACATTACACATTAATGCAGAAACAAACCAGCACATGGGGCGTGGTCGTCTCCTTTGTTTGACTGTAACAGCGCTCTTCTCAGGTATTCACTGAGATTAAAGACCAGAATTTCCCAGAGTCTCTTAGAACTGAAGAAACCAAGACAGTCCTGTTGTCATTATTTCTTTACTCAAAAAATGTTTGGACTGAAGAACATTTAAGGACAAAAATGCCTGAAAAATACTATAGTTTCCTTGATTTTGTGGTTTTTCAGTAACTAAAGGTAACTAAAAAGAGGGCAACAGATGGTCCTGGAGTAAAGACAGGTTTGAGGTTTGGAAAAAGACATTACTGAGAACTTCATCAACACAATCCTCAATCCTTGGTCGGTCAAATCGCATCTCCAACTTTATCATCTAATAAAATCTGTAAATCCAAAAGACCGCTGCAAGACCACGAAAACATCAAGTCCACGGGCTCTGATGAACGGAAGTATCCTTCCTGTTTTTTTCTTAGAGCCTTTGATTCCTGAACTTTCCTAAATTTGTCGCCCATCTGTAAGCACTCACTCAGGAAGAACAAGAGGTCAGGGAGGGGAAACCTGACCTTGCTGTGACTACGGACCTCCGCAATAACATGATGCCTGTAATCCACAGTCAAGTTTGCAAGAAGACAAAGACAAAGTCAACCAAATTCTCCAGAATTATCCAGGGGCCTGCATGGGCATGCCTTTAATCAATCACTTCCTGAAGTGTGTGTGTGTAGATGAGAGACAGGGGTCAACCTACTCCTTGAGCCCCACTCTGAATGTAATTTTCTCTTTTCAAAAATAACCACTGTGTTTTCATGAACCACACACACATGTTGCATGTGTTTATGTGACCACATGTGTGGCACCGAGCAGCGTCTCCTTCATCTTGTTTTGTGTTTGACCAAAACCCACAAGGCTGCAGGCGGCTCATGCTTTATGTCATTCTTTGAGACTGTATTCTTTCTGAGGTTGAACGTAGAGTCTGAGGAGGTTTGGTCTCAGCCCTCAGGGGTTGAGGGTTCTTTCTTTTTTTTAAAGGTTTTTCATTAAACTTTTACCATTAGGTACTCTCTGAGCTGCAGTGACTGAATGTCTGGAAAATGTCCGTGAAAACCTGTTCCAGATATTTCAATGAAATTCCTCCGTCAATATAAAGTCAAATATCTCTCAGATCACAATGACTGTTTGTTCTTTGTCCACACAGTAGAGAACCCCGTTCCAGAACCGTACCACTGACCTGCTGCTCAGTTTAAGTTTGATCTTAGACTGAACTGAACTGAGTAGAAGACAAATGTCTTTTTCCTAGGACAGTGAAGGCATTGCTGGATTTACTCTGCCTTTGATTATTTTCTGATTCAAAGTTTCGGAGACAATCAGATTCATTTTAACCCAAACTTTAAATTAAAACTTGGACTACAGAAGTGTGTTTTAAACAAACCTTCACGACATCAGACGCCTCCGTATCTTATATAAATATGCTAACAGCACTTGTGTTCTGTCTCCTCACAGATGGCGCCGAGAGCGGCAGAACCTCGACGCGGTCATCTATACGAAGACATAGACAATCGTCACTACAGCTCACAGCCCAGGTGAGACAGCTGTGTGTTATTTCTCCTTGGTGCAGGAAATGAGGGGATAACTCTCTAAAACCACCAACAAACACACACACACGCACACACACGCACACACACAGCACAGACTAATCCTCTTTTGAGCTTATAATTAAATCTGGAGTGTTTGCCTCGGGACCATCTACTCGTCCCAGGAACAGAAGTGACGCTCTCTGAAGAGTAGGTCTCAGGCACAGGGAATCACTCATCCTGCTTCAGTGTGCAGCTTTGGAGATGCATCACAGGCTTTTTCCTTTTAACACGTGCTGCGGTGAATGGACTTTAACATCCAGAGACCAGGTTGATGAGCAGGAAGGTGTTCTCACCAAGAACCAAGAGGTGCTAATGTAACTAATCCAACGAACATAAAGATAAATCTGTTTTTAATTTCTGCTACCACAGTGGGTTTGAGTTACTGAGGTAAAATTGTTTCAGACACAGAAGTGACAAAGTAACATATTTAAATATAAAAAGAGAGTTTGTTTTCCATTGTACAAAATGAGTGTTTTTTTCCCATGGACTGTTTAGGTCAAAGGGCTCAAACAGTTAGATAAAACAGCTAGTTTACAACTGGAACAAAAACGACTTCAACAAATCCTCCTGTTAAAATCCAAGGCTGTCCACATCCTTAGTCCTCCATATTTATCTGACCTCCTCCGTGCTGCCACTCCCTCTCGTACTCTGAGCTCATCCGCTTCTATCCACTTGACTGTTCCCTCCACACGTCTCACCACCTTTGGGAACGGAGCCCGGCGCCTCTGCTCTCCAAATCTGGAACTGACTACCACGCGAGGTCAGGAACCTCAGTCCACTGCCCTTCCTTGAATCCTCTCTCAGAATCTGGCTGTTCAACATTGTTATCTCTCTATGTTCTTGAGTGTTACTGTAGAGAGGAAAATATCAATAAAACCTATTATTTTAACTTTTATAAACTGGCTGGTGACACTGCTGGCAGTCACAGTCTTCAAGTCAAATATAATTTGCAATTAAATTTAGAACTATACCTTTAATTACCTTCACATTTTTGTTAGGTTCAAGCTGAGCTTGTTTTTCCAGGCAGTGACTCAGCACAAACACACAGTGTAACTGAACTGCACCGTATTCACAGTATTTTGCAAAAATCCAGTCGGTGTGTCTGTAAACTTCATCGACCAATGCTGAAGTGAAGGGTGTAGTGAGAGAGAAAAGAGGGGACCCTAGGATGGTGAGGGGGAGGAGGAGGAGGAAGAGGAGGGGGAGAAGAGGAGAACAGTCATTTCATGGGTTATTGCCCAGCCTGATATGATGGACACCAGGGAGCCCAGACATTAGAGGAGGAGAAATCCAGAGAATCTGTGGGAGAGACCAGGGGGAATATGATTGAGCAGCGGTGGGATGCAGATGTGAGCCCACTTTTAACATAAATGGAGATGGACTGAATGAGGGAGCCTTGACCCTTAGCTTGAGCTCCAGTTCATCTGTGCTCACCAAGAAATTGTAGGTCTGAAACTAATGCAGAACAATGAACATTTTTAAAGGAGCAGTATGGAAAAAGAACCATACCTAAGTTGACCTTCCAGTATTTTTTCAAAGAACGAATGAAGTATCATTTTAATATAATAATACAAAAATATTAATAGTGGCTGTGAAACGTTCAGGTTATGATATTTACATGTACAATATGGAGCCAATAGGTGGCAGTAATTCAACTCTTGTCTGCCACTTTATGATAAAAGTTTGTCAGTTATATTAGTCTAAATAAATATCGTTGTGTTGCAGATAAGTTTTGTGAGAGCTGTCAATCTCCAAAGAATCGTAGAAAGCAAAAAACAAAGAAGACAGTTAATTACGTCATGTTTAACTCCAACATCCAATTTAGTTTTTCTTATCTTAAAATTTCCATATGTTTTTTTTTATTCTTTTCCCCTCTAAATACAAAATTGTCAGGATGTAATCAATTTGAAACACATTTTCTACACTTCATTTGCAGCAGTGATGACACGGAGAGAATACTTCATTTAAACTATTGCATGGTTATTCAATCCAGAACATTCTACACCTTTCACTAGTTTAGCTACGGGAGCAAAATGAAGGATGTAAATATATTCTGGAAGTTTCTCTTCCTTTCTCTCTCTTTCTTTTTATTCTCATTGAGCGAGGTTGAAAACATGGGGGAAAGACACTTCATTTGCAGCAGTACACACACACACAGAGACACACACACACAGCAGTGAATTGAATGCATTTTTCAAAGTGGAGCTGAACTTTGTGCAAAATCCCCCGAGGGCAGCCATTATTGAAAGCCATTTCCTCTCAAAATGAGTGCGGCTCCACCATTGGCCTGGCTCTCATTAGCATACATTTGGCCTGCCTTTGTGTGGAGCCGGCTGCGGCTGCAGCTGGAGGGGTGGAGTAGGTGTGTGTGTGTGTGTGTGTGTGTGTGTGGATAGTACAGGAGATGCAGCGAAGCACCTCACAAATGGAAGTTGAGAGTCAGATAAATGGTGATTAAATCAAGGCGGAATCAACACTTTGAGTGCTGTGTTGCTGAAAGTCCTCGTGTCCACCTTTATTACTGTTTCCCAAATGAGGACTCACAGGCGTCTATTAAATTTGCAACACTCCGCATCCTTCCCTTGAATGGGTTTTTTGCTATTTCCGCTTTTTTAATGGAATAGTTTGGATCATTTTAAGTCGAGTTTTTCATGAATTGTTCAAACAATGTTGCTTAAAAAACATTGGTTAAAATATGACGGCAGGCACAAACAGATGACTTTTCTGTCAGTTTAATCTCTGTAAAAGCTATGTTTGTAAATCAAAACAGCCCTGAACCAACGTCCTTCAAAACATGTGCTGTGAATCAGTCCAGCAGTCGCTCTTTTTTGTGCTCTTTGCCACTAAACTAGCTCAAAATATCATTTCAATGTAAAGCAACATGAATTACTTCTGAAGAAATGAAAAGTAAACTTTTACCTCCATGTGACATCTGAGGCCTTAAGTCACTGGACATAATAAATGTCCTTACAGAGACAGATGTTCACTGGTGTTCTTGTGGATAACAATCACAGTTCTGGACATCAGGGTAACTTCACAATATTGTGGGAAAAGGAAAGTGCAGGAACTTTGCAATCATGATGGGAAATTGTAATTAATACCACTGAGGCATAGCGTTGCACTCACGCACCATTGTATTTTACACATAACACATGTTAGCGACAGAAGCTTAGTCTGTTGTTTCTTAATTGGTATTACTTTACGATCAAGACGTTCCTTGAGCCTCAGAGAACTAATGCAAAAGCTGCTCTTGGATGTGAGCCGGGCACTCTGCACCACGGGCCACAGAACAGCAGCCAAAGAGAGTTTGAAGTCTGAAGTCCGGGAAAGAGGATTTGGAAAGAGCCGTGGAGGTGAGCGAGTGGGGAGCAGTTTAGCTCCAGGGAGGGTGACGCTGCAGCTCTGGCTCTTACCTTCCTCTCCATCAGTCATTACTGCTGGACTATAGCCTGCAGACAGGCTCCATGCTTGGACACACACACACACACTTGAACATACAGCCATATGGAGAATATTAACATCATTACCAATTCAAAGCAGCAGGTCATGGGCGCAGCGACCCAGCCTCGGGGTTATCCAATCAGAGCACCCCGTGACCCACTTCCCCCAAGGTGATTGGATTAGGTTGCAGCGGTGATGTTGCCGACTGGAGCTGATAATTGGCTGATTAATGTGCAGGCTGTGGCCACTGGGAGCACAGGTCTCCAAGTGGACACACCAAGCTTCCAGCATCTGGACCGAGAAGTTGACCTCCATGAGACGGATATAAGGGGTGTGTTTGTGCAGGTGTTCCAGTTTTCCCAAGTCCAAAGGGACGTCGTAACAACAATAACACAAGATATTAATCCTAATTATGCTCAGACTTCAGACAAGGCCTCACTGGATGTTGTATGATGTTGTTGTATCTGTATGTTGGATGTGATTGGATTTGTTCTCTACAAATTAGGTGTGTGTGTGTTTGCAATACATATATATACATATATATATATGAGATGATGATGATTTGGACGTTGGCTGAGATGAGATGATCATGATGTTGGAGGTGGAGCCTGGTAGGAGAAGAGGAACAAGCACAGAGTAGATTCAGGGATATGTGAAGGACGTAGCTGTTCTACCCTCTCAGTGACATCAGACCTTTTTTTTACCAATTATACCAGTACAGAGATCTTCTTGGTGTTTAACAGCGCCCCCTGCTTCATCATCTAAAACACACCATAGAAATCAACATAAAAAACAATATATTTCATCAGCTCTTGATGAAATTGATTTTATCAATAAAACAGGTGACAACCACCCAAAGCCCAGCTATTAGATCAGCCACTGGTGGGTGATGATTTCAGCTCCCTAATATGTTGAGCTTTATATTTTCAGATGTGTCTGAAAGGTCTTCTGGAGGTCAGGGAGGAGAAATCATATTTTGGCTGCATCTTTATTAAAAAACCAAACCTTATTTCCACACCGTCCATCTTCAAGCTGTGGAATGATTCACTTTCAACTCGTCTAATTCAGTTAGGAATTATTGTCTCCGAACCTCGGTTTATTTCTCGGGTCCTGGAAAAGCCAGTTAGCCTGACAACAGCTGGCGATGTCCTACCAGGGCCAGGTGTGATTGGTTTATAAAGTGATATCCCCCTCCTCCTTTTTTCGAATCGCTACATAAGCAACAGAAAAGCATCAGAAGCTGATGGTTTTGTTTGATTTCCCTGTGGAGGGCTGGGACCCTTCACTGTATAAAGGAAAAAAAACATGGAGAGGCCGCACTGTTTGTTCAGCTAACACTGTTTGCTGGCACAGAGGAGGATGTAAGGGATGAGCAGTGAGGAATGAGAGCTTTGTCTCTAAGGTGATGCTGTTGACACTGATTGTTTTACTTCTGTTGACCAACTTTAGCTTAGCTCTCTGTTTGATTTAAACTGTTTTCCCACATTTTCACTCATGTTTAACGT